CTGTATAATCACTTATGATTATACCATACCATCGTGCTGATATGTTGGAGGGTTAGAGCGGCAGATGTGAAATATGTGGCTGATGGTGATTTTCAATATCACTGTTTTATTTTTAATCTCAACGGAATCTACCTCTCTCTCTCTCTCTCTCTCTCTCTCTCTCTCTATATATATATATATATATATATATATATATATATATATATATTATATATATATATATATATATATATATATATATAATATATATATATATATATATAACGTTACGTTTGAATATATTTAATTTCTCGGGATTATTGATACCTAAACCATCATCTTTGGTGGTCAGGTGAATCTAGATTCAAATAAATAACATAGGATAGGTACTAGCAGTAACACAAATCTCTCACAGACTCATTTTGATTTCTTCATATATAAAAAACATCACGTTTGAGTTAATTCACAAGAGAAATGACACAAAGAGCAAGCGAGGGGAATGAACTTTATTTAATTAATAGGCCCTATTGTAGGCACTACATAATTGTACCTTCAGTTACAATACTAGACATTCAACATGAAACCATGCATACTCAAATTCATTTCTTTTCATCCGGCTTAGTGCATGCTTTCGCTTCAGTCTTTTCATAATCTGGCAGAGGAATTTGCCCAGCCTCGATAGCATTCAAGTCATCAACCAACCTTTTGTAATGAATCTTGACTTCCTCTACAGTCTTACCAGTGATCTTTGCGATGTTTTGCCATCGATCAGGGGTGTCCTTGTCATACTTAGCAAGCGCATTCTCAAATAGCTTGTTTTCTGCCCAAGTCCAGACGTTAGAACTTGAAGCCATTAATCCAGAAGAGCAATACAGAGAAACACACGATATAAGAGAAAAGATGTTGAAATGTACGAATGGAAGTGCATTTTCTTTCTCTATTTATACAAGAACTGAGAGTTCGAGAGGGCCAGGTGATGAGTGTTTGGTTCACACGAAAAGCATTTCATGTTCAGTGTCATTCAAAAGCGTCATGTAAGACAGTGTTGGACTTTTCTGAAACTCAATAGAAAAGTCCTAGTAACTTGCTATATATCCGGGGAAAGAAACAGGTTTTAAGTGGGTCAGAGTATAACCTCGTGCCAAGATTGTCTTTATGCGAGAGAAGGTGTTCCCCAACATGACGTATGAAGAACCAATAGTTATGGTGAAAATATTTGTGTGAATGTGTGCTATTTTGAATGTAACGTAAAAACATCTGGCGTTTATCAGGTGGGCTCCAAACTCCTATTTGGCAAAGAAGCGGGTGAATCAGTCCTAGCAGTGGCTTTAATTTGTCACATAGTCACGGGTATAAGACTTTTATTATTTTGGTCTCATATTTTTATATATAATATCACATAGATATAGACCTAACAATATGTGTCGTGTTGTGTATTTATGTCGGATACGAATTTATACGACATGAATTTGTTAAACCTTAACACGATACGTAGACAACATGTAAAAAAATTCGTATGACACGTAAAAAATTCATATGACACGTGACACGACATGAGTAGACATGTTTTTAATGCCTTTTTTTTAAGCTAGGGTTATATAATGATTATCAACTTTTACGAAATCGGTCTCTAATATTTTATAAATATAAAATTTAACCTTAAAGTCCATGTTGCAAAAAACGCTCGACGTTTGCTAGTCGGTGGACTGAGGTCAAAGGATTAATCGGCTAGGCGGAGATTAATCGGAAGATTAATCGGGTACCATTAATTGCTAATTTGTTGAATTTTAAGAAATTAAATATGACTAATATCATATCAAAGTTCGTAAATACCACTAATATGATAACAAAATAGGTTAATATGATTAATACAACATTAATCATGTCTCAAATAGTTTCCATTGAGATAAAACTTCTTCAAAATGTTAAGATTTCATTGTTTTATAATGTTTCACTCATTATGTATGCATAGATTAATCGTTAGGCGGCCTCTAATCAGTCGAGTAGCACCTAGGGATTAATCGGAGATTAATCGGGACCTAGTCGGGATTTTTACAACAGTACTTAAAGTATATATGTTATTATACGTGTCACGTGTAAACATGAATTTGTATCGTGTCTTATACATGTTAAAACAGATAAATCCGTTTTTGTCACATGCCAAGAAACACGAATTTAAAATACGTGTCAGATACGAATAAACATGAAACACGAATTTCTAAAATAAATACACGGAAAACTCGTATCGTGTTCGTATCATGTTAATAGTATCGTGTATCAAATTGTCAGGTCTACATAGATAGAGTGTTTAACACTTTATCAGATATTTAAAATTAATTTACAAGTATACGATATACATAAAAGTCTTGTGAATCATAGCAAATGCTACCACGTTGTTTTATAATTCTTCGTAATGAACAAAAGAAAATGAAATACAATTTGCTATGTATTCATTTCTTTTTTTAATTTTTATCTATCTTATAATTCTTCATTTTTGGCTTTTGGTCAAGCCATTTCAACGACGAGTCTAGAATAAAAATCTGCATGGTTCACTAAGGTTGATTAAAAAAATCCAAGTTTAATTTGACCAGTTTAACTAGAAAAGTAACCGATTCCACATGTATAAAAAACTGGTGACGAGAGGATGAAGACCAAGCTCATCATTCTTTAAATATTGCTTTTGACTCAAATAAATTTAAATTTAGAGTAAAGCTGAATTTATTTTATCGACCCAAATATTTGTTTATAAATGTGTAACTTAAGTATATATATAGCTTTCCTTTAATCAAAAAATGACATGTTGGATAAGTTCAAACATAACGGTATGGAGTGATCATCTCATAGGAGAGGTCAGAGTTCGAATCTTGATGGAGATATATATGGTTATTTAGGAATATATTATAGTTAGTTTGCGGTTTCAAAAAAAAAACCTATACATATATTAAAACATATATACATATATATATATATATATATATATATATATATATATATATATATATATATATATATATATATATATATATGTGTGTGTAAGCTAATTATTACTCAACGAATAGTCATTAATAAAATATGTTTTTTTAGAAACGGATTAATAAAATATGTGAGTAAAGGTTTTTTTTTTTTTTTTTTTTTTTGGTTTTTTGGTTTTTTAAAGGAAAAATGATATGGATATTTAAAAGTAAAGCAATAAAACTAATAATAATAACAAGATAAGTATAGAATTACGATCTGAAAACGACAAATCAATAAACAAAATATATATTCAAATATGATAGAATAATTATCAATAAAAAAAACATGCACAATTTGTATAGCTTTTTTTTGCACACCTTGGTGTAGCTTTTTTTCGTCCTTTCTCCTAATTAATGGATTTGGGAACTAAAGTGGCAAAAGCCCATTTCTTCTAAATGATTGGTAAAAGCCCATTACCTCTAAATGATTTGTAACCTACTTGTCTCTCTTTCCTTTACTAGCTCCTCCTTTTCAAAGCTTCAAGTTCTGTGTTTCTTTGGCAAATTTGGTTCGTGTTCGATTTATATATTAATTGGGTTCTAGGTTTCAATCGAATTCAACTTATTTATTTTAATAGGTTGATATTTTCAATCCAACCAAACGTTTTAGATAAATGAGTTGTTAGCGGGTTGATCTGTTCATATAGTTCTCGACTCAATTTACTACATAAACTGATTAAAATTTGGATAATCCAATTGAAATAAAAAAATATAAATTAATTAACTAAAGATTATGTCATTTAAATTAGTTCCAAACATAAATAAAGTTTCAAAAAATAACAGAAACACAATCATAATTCACAAATACATATAAATTGTTCAAATAACATTAAAAATGTTCAATTTTGAAGTGATTTACAAAGTGGGTAGTATTGTGGGTATTAAGAAAAAAAAAAATGAGAATTAGGATTGCATATTTTTTAATCATAAATAATAATGCAACATTATAATTTATAAATTAATATTTTGATCAATACATGATAATATTCCAATAACTATCAAATTAAATAAATATTTAAGTTAAATGGGTTGGTGGGTTGAAAACGTATTGATAATCTTTACCCAACTCGATATATTTAATTAAATGGTTGCAGCAATTCAACTTAAATATGTTAAAAATCTCAACCTAACTCGTTAATTTTGATCGTTAATAAAGTATGGTTAAGCAAACCACACTTTATTCAATAATATTTAACATTTTGTTTTCTGAAGTGTATTTTATTTCACTATATACATGGTCTAAAAAAACCTATTTTCACATACGACAAAAATAAACAAATTAATCAACGATACAATAAAAGTACATTGTTAACGAGGAATCCATATTGCATTAATGAGGAAACAAGATAAAAATAACAGAAAAATCAATGAAAGTACATTGCTATAAATGTAATACGAAGAACTAGAAGTCTAGCAACATTAGTAGCACATTCTTTTTATGCAACATTTTAATGGAAATTTTCATGTAAAAGTGGACCGTAAAGCGTATAACTTGACATAAGGAATATAATTAACTGTATTACAACGATGATTGAAGGAGCCACAACAAAGAATTTATTAGTTTTAATTAAAGCCAATAAAAACTCATTTGGACATGCAATATTTCCTTAAAATTATTAAATTTAATAAGACAAGGTAGCGTAAAGAATCTACATTCTAACTTAGGTCTAATAATTATAATTAGTGTATCGAAGAACAATCATCACCGCAATATGTAAGAAAACACTACCTGGAGTATGGAGTCAAGTGGCCGGTGTGCAAGATGAATTGAAAAAATTTGGAATTGACATTGATGAAGTAATAATGAAGAAAATTGGATCATGAGAGGATACCATGTTCTGGCTTGACAGATGGATTAGTGGCTCAACGCTAAAGAATTCCTTCCCAGAGTCATATAAACTGGAATGCCGCAAGCATTGTAAAATAAGTAACCGTCTACAGCATGGTACTATGAACTGGTAATGGAAATCAACTCCAAGAACAGTGGATCAGATTAGTGAGATTAACATGCTCACTACCACAGTCCGTGATTATCAACTTATGGATGGGAGAGATAAGTGGATGTGCACTTTATCTAGTGATGGTGTTTTCCATGTCGATGCTCTTAGATTTCAAATTGATTGCTCGAACATACCATCGATGGAGACTCACTTAAGATGGATTCATGAGATCCCATTGAAGGTGACATGCTTTATATGGAGGGCAAATTTAGACAGAATACCAACCGCATGCGCTCTACTCAAACGAGGTATTCAACTGGAATCCCCCCTATGCACCTATTGCGGGAATGAAGAAGAGGATGCATCCCATGTGATCCTACGATGCCCAAGGGATGTGTAGGTTTGGGATTGAGTGTTCCGTTGGTGTGACATCCCTAATGCTCAATTCGCATCTGTGGAGGAATTATTGAAGTTTTCATCGCAGTGGGGGACATGTGCAAAGAAGAGAAAAAGCCTCATCAGTATTTGTTACGGGACGGCATGGCTTATTTGGAAAACAAGGTGTGATTGGGTCTTCAAAAAATCTAGAATCTCTCCTATTAAGGTGGCGGACTTGATGAAATCCACAGTGTTTCTATGGATCAAATATAGGAGAGAGCATTGTAATTTTCAATGGATTGATTGGTACATCAATCCTTTTTTGTGTCTATAATTTCTTCTTATTCTTTCTTGTATTCCTTTGCACTACCTAGCGTCTTGCTAGGGTGTGGCCTTTTAATGTTATTTGCCATTTCCAAAAACAAGATCTTTGTGCATTTTGAGAGTAAAATCGCATTTTGTTTTTTTTTTCTTCATGAAAGAGCACTCAAAATCTTTCGATCATGAGAAGAATACAAAAGGGATCATATCTACATGTATAAATCCAGACATAAATTAATAGAGTTCACAAAATCCATAAAAAAAAATATATGATAATAAAAATATATATGAGCAAGGCTTTAAGATTTAGTTTTTTCGATATTTTTAATTAGGACTCACAATTATCACAAGCTTTAAACCATGAGACATATTTGATTAAAATATATTATTTTAATTCTAACCTAACCAAGTGATAATAAATAATCTTCAGAACTTGAATATCAATTTCATAAGATCAACCCCAACAATCCAATTAATTAATGCAAATACATACACTGAAGATATCAAGATGAGTTTAACTTCATTATTTTACGACGTTGAAGCCAATCATAGAAGATCTCTAAATTCAAGATCAAATCACAACTACAAGTAACATACAAAGTTTTTCTTATGCCATTTTGACATGATCAGAACCTCCACTGAAAGAATCATTATTGCTTCATAAGATCGATATTCATGTTATAAAAACCATCAAATTTCCATATTCAATAATTCCAACAACAAACCAAGGAAATTACGTTGTTATTATTTATTGACCATGTAGAATACACTATGTGATATCTAGTAGCAGATTCTTCAAAACAACAATCTTTTAAACCTTTATACATCTGGGTCCTAAGTGGGAAAATGTTAAAAGCGACTTGTCAAAAAAGGATGTGATAATAGAAAAAATAAACAAATCAATGAAAGCATATTGCTATAAATGTATTATAGGGAGTTAGGAGTCTAGCAAGCGTAAGTATAACATAATAGAGTCCATTCATCTGTATATTCAAACTATCATTAAAGTGAAGAAATAATCATTTCATTAATGAATCAATATAACAATAAAACTATCCATCAAAATACGATCCATAAAGAAACATCTAAAAAAAGTTTTACTAAATTGATGAAGATAAATCTTCTGGCACATAACCATACAAACCCCATAAAATGTAATTCCTTTCTTATCTTCTTAGGTACTATGTTAATGATCTATGACAAATCATTTTTTATGCAGGTTCATGACATCTTAATGGTTATTTTCTTGTAAAACTAGAACGTAAATCATATCAGTTAACATAAGGAATTAAATTAATAGTATTACAGCAAGGATTCAAGGATCCATAACATAAAATTTAATATTTTCAATTAAAGAAAATAAAAACTCATATAGGAATGGACGATTTCCATAAATTTTTAAATAAATGAGGAAAAAGTAACATAAAGAATCTATATTCGAACTTAGGTTTAATAATTATATTTAATAAATAAAAGAACCCTCATCATTTCAATGGATCATTATGCATTTTGAGTAGGGCTGATAATTCTCGATACGACCCACAACACGACACAAAATAAATATGTTTGAGTTGAGTTTTTCAACACGCCAACACGCCAACCCGCCAACCCGTTTATTAAACGGGTCATATATGGGTTTCTCAATAAATAATCATTATTTCTTCAAAACTAGATATTCATGTCAATAATTCCATCAAAATTCGATAATCAATAGTTCCAACAGCTCACCAGGAAAAGCATATTGCTATTATTTGATGAACATGTAGAAAATCTATGTGATATCTAGTTGCCAATTCTCTAAAACATCAATCTTTAAAACCTTAATGCATCTGGTTCTTAGTTGGGAAAAAGTTAAAAAGTGATTTGTCAAAAAAAAATGTTATAATAACAAAAATAAACAAATCAATTATAAGTATATAGATATAAATGTATTATAGGGAGTTAGGAATCTAGTTACATAAGTATCACATAGTATAGAGTCCATTGATTCATATGTGAAAAACTTCATTAAAGTGAAGAAATAACCACTACATTAATGTATCAATATAACAATAAAACAGTCTATCAAAATACAATTTATAAAGAAATATCTAAAAAAAGACTTACCATGTTAATGAAGATAAATCTTGTGGAACATATACCATACCAAACTCATAAAATGAAATGTATTTCCCAACATTTAATCTATGATTTTGATGATCTATGGCATATCCTTTTTTATGCAAGTTCAAGACCTCTTAATGGATTTTTTTCCTGTAAAACTAGAATGCAAAACGTATAAATTGACATAAGGAATAGAATTAATAGTATTTCAAAAAGGATTCAAGGTGCCAAAACATAAAATTTAACACTTTCAATTGAAGCTATTAAAACCGCACTTGGGCATGCAAGACTTCCCTAAAATTCTGAAATAAATAAGCCAAATTAACCTAAAGAATCTATTTTCTAGCCTAATAATTATAATTAGTGTATAGAATAACCATCATCATTGCAATGGATCCTTTTCCATTATTTTAAGAATATAATTCCAAAAATAAATTATCAGAGACCATAAAATTCACAAACAAAAATATATCCTCCTTAATAAATGAAAGTTTGTTTTGCCACATGTCATTTTCTCCTTCATTTGGACACATATCATTTTCTAGATTTTTTAAATTTTCTATTTTCCACTTGTCATTTTATTTTAATTTTCATTTTATTAAATTAAAATTCCACATTTAATATGTAAGGTAATATATATGTAAGGTATTTATTAGAAATCATTTATATATGTAATGTATTCAATGATGTATTAAAGTCTCATTTATTTTAATAATTTAAATTTTTTCTCATTTTTCTTATAAATTCAAACTTCTCAAATTATTAAAATTTCATATTTTTTTTAAATAAACCCATGTAATACATGGGTCTCACACCTAGTGATTATAAAAATAAATACGAGCAAGGCTTTACAAAGTTAGTTTTCCTATATTTTAAAATATAACCATAATTAACATAACCTTTAAAGCATGATACATATTTAATTAAAATTATTGTTTTAAATCTAACTAACCATCTGATAAGTAATTTTGAGAACTTGAATATCAATTTCTTAAGATCAACCCCAATAATCCAAATAAATAATGAAAAATCATACGCTTAATGATATAAAGTTGAATTTACCTTTATTATCTTATAATGTTGAAGCAAACCACATAAGCTCTCTAAAGTCAAAATCAAATTAGAGCTACGAGCAAGATACAAAAGTTTTTTGTTGCCATTTAACATGATCAGAGCTTCATTGAAATAGACATTATTGCTTCATAAATTTGATATTCATGTCAATAATTCCACTAGAATCCCATAATTAATAACTCTAATAGCAAACCAAGATCCTGGTCCCTATGTGCAAACTAGGTATGTTAAAGGGACCAAATAGGAGTGGAAATAGATGCCCCCACCCCACTCATAAAATTACTTGTTGACTATACGCCGGTCCCGCCCTCAAATCCCTCAGTTACCTAGCCCTCGATCCCAACCCTGTCTATAGACTTAAAATTGACTTTTTTTGCTAAAAAAATTCTATTGTTTGGAAATTATCAAAATCATAGCAACATCAAAACTTAAATTACAACATCTTAACAATTAGCGACATCAAATTACCTTAACTGGAAATTATCAACATAGTCTCTTTGGAATAAAATAAGAGCAAACACCATATCAAAAATTAAATCACATCAATATAATAAAAATTAGAAAACATAAGATAACAGAAATTTAGGATATGTTAGAAAAGAAATCATAAATCAAAACAACATAGCAAACATTAGATGAAATGAAATCAAAAATATCCTAGCAACACAGTTTCGTTCGAACTAAAACAAAGAAGAATCAAGTTTAATTTGTAGGTTGTCAATGGCGGGTGGAAGCCAGAGGCTATGATAGGAGGCGATGATCATCTGATTGTGTGAGGACTGAGCCTATAGGAACATGGTGTTGACTGTTAACAAATGACGTTACCGAAGGAATGAGGAACAGTCACTTCATCTCCTCCTGAAGGTGGAGGTTGAGGCTGTAAAGGGTAGGGGTGAACATTTAGACCTGTAAACCGAACCAGACCGATGAAATGGACCATTTTTTTAACACTGGGCCGGTTCTCGGTTCTCGGATTTCAGTAAACTCAGTCCGGTCCGTCCGATTCCCGGTAAAAAATGATTTTGGACCAGCTTATTTTTAAAAAACCTTGTGTTTTGTAAAATTATTTAAACAAGCATATCTCATCCGTTTTAAATCGGATTGACATGCGGTTTTTTTCGAATGTGCAACTTAGAGTTTGTAGATGATTTTAGACTATAATTTTGTTTTTTTGGTATTATAGTTGATGAGTTACAATACTTCAAAGATGTGATATCAAAGCTAAAATATTTCAGCTTTTTAAGCAATTCTGTGAAAATTTTTAAATAAGCATACATCATTCGTTTTAAGTCGGATTAACATATAGATTTTACTAAAGCGTAATTTAGAGTTTCTAGATGGTTTTAGACTATAATTTTGTTGTTTTTTGTATTATATTCGATGAGTTACAATGTTTCAAATATAAGATATCAAAGCTAAAATATTTTATTCTTTTAGCAAAAAATTTAAACTTTTGTATTCTGTAAAATTCTTTAAACAAGCACATTTTATTCGTTTTAAGTCGGATTGATATGTGGTCTTTTC